ATCCCGGCTCTCTGCGGTCACATTAGAAGATAATTTTCCATGCACACACCTTCTTTATCAAGATCATTTAAAGCCCAGAGAACTAACTCGGCTCCCAGCCTGTCTGGGGTTGGTTTTTTTTTTTTCCCAGTCATCCTGAACAGCAGCAAAAAGTCACGAGTAATGGCAAACATGGGAGCAAACCACAAGAACCCCGCTGAGAATAGTTCAGCTCCCTCATACAAACGCAGCCCAAATCAGACAGTCCCCAGAAATTCCAGGCAGCTGCCCTTGTTTCAAAGAGATGCGAGAATCAATTACAAGGAAACATTTGCATTTCTATCTAAACTTGAAATGTCACGCTAGGCTTCAGCCGAGCTTGTGCTTCAACAGGAGAAGGTTAAGGAAATAATCATCACCCATCAATTAGCAGAAAATAGGACTAAAACCAGCAAAGCTCGCTACACCTGTAACAATTAAAAATACGTGCATGTACCTAATGCCACACACTTTATTTAAGCAGGTAATAACTCCTAAAATCAAACCGATAGTTAAAAAACCAAGTTTATTCTCTCTGCTTCTGTAGTACTGCAGTCCACCATCACTAAAGAAAAACTTTTGTTACTAAGAGGACAACCAAAATATCTGTCAGCTCAAATCACTGTCTGAATTTCCCTCTCCAGGTTGGACAACCACACATCTTAAAAAAGAATTTAAACAAATAAATATAAACGGCAGCCTCTGAATGCCCATCTCTGCTGACATATTAAAAAAGAAAAATGGCAAAAATCCCCTCAATTATATTTATTTAACTAACTATAAAAAAAGTGTTGAACACTGTAATTTATACTACACCAGCTTCCCAAATTTAATTCTACAGGGCTGACTATTGCTGTCTTTGTAGCCCAGAATGAAAGTGAGTTTCGTTCATTCTTACAGCTTCATGTTTTGATTGCAACATATTTGAGTGCACTACAAGGTAGGAGCACTCAAAGCAAAGCTCTGCTCAAATCATATTCCAAGAATACGTGGACTCTTATCTATTTATTGTAAAACTATGTACCCGAAGCACCACGACTAAAATTTGAACAACCATTTAACAACGCTTTTTAAATTGTTTTTATTTTGCAGCAACAAAAGCTCACAGAAGGAAACAAAGCTTTACACTCTGGGAAAAAAAATACAAAAACAAGCTGGGTCAAGGCTTATTGGAAGACTCTATGTAAAAAATAAAGAAATAAATAAGTCAGCTCATTTCCATTCTCAGCCACAAGACTGGGAGTCAAAGCATCCTCAGCAATGCAAGGCATGATTTTGGTGCAGTAAAAGGTTTTGCAGATAGACAGAGCTTTTGTTTATTTGTTTGTTGGGATTTTCTTCCTTTTAAGTCTGAAGTAAATTTAATCAATGCTGTGTACAGTTACACCTACTTGCAACCAGCAAAAGTGCTAAATAGCACTTTTAATATGCCCTCCACAGAAAATACTCTTGATTTTGTTTCCCTAAAGGCTGAAACTGAAGTCAAGTTTGCAAAGTAGCCACGTAAACAAGTTCTTCCCTACTCTAAGACATTTTGAATAGCCATAATCCCTAAAGGAGGTACAAATTCAAAGTCTCTTTTGTGCTCTACAACTTTAAACCCTTGTATAAATCATACAGTTTTCTTCTGAGGAAACTTTTCTTTCAGAATGTATCCAAAGCCTTGAAAAAATTGAAATTAAAGGGGCAATTTAAATGCAAAATATTAAGTAACTGAAGACCTGAGCTACAGACAGAAACAGCTCATCAGCTTCCACAAGGACATAAATATTTGAACAGATAAAGAGTAATTCTTGCTAAGAACATAAGACTGCAGTCATTCATTCTCCCCCGCACAGTGTCAGCTTGAAGGCTACTCTCTCCACAGATAGGCTGGGGAAAAAAATATAAAATAATCAGTATAGCCAGCCCAAAAAGAAAAGTTGCAAACATGTTAGAAAAACTTTCCAGTGGCAGTTCTGCTTCATGTTGATAAACTGTCAAGACAGATTACAATTTCTGCAAGAAGAAATAGAAATATTCAAATGTGTGAATTAAGCATCTGTCTCTTCTAATGTGAAGCACCTTAATTTTCTGTGTCGGTCTTTTCAACTTCTTATCTTTCCAAACAGACTTATTTTTGTACACACTCATTTAGCTTCCCCATATATATTAAAACCAGTCAAAAAAGCCTGAAACTGCTCCAGCTAGATCTGTTGATCTTAACCGCACAACAGAGAGATGCAGCGATTTATGGGCTTATCTCCACTGCTGTTCTACCAAACCTCAACACAGCATCCAACACCGCGTCCCACCAAGGGTTTGTATAAACTCAGCGCTTGGTCTCCAGCTGCGGCTGCAGGAGATGCCATTTAGCGTTCCCGTGGTCCATCCCCTCCTGACTCCCCCAGCATCCTTCAGAGCCTGCATCTCCCCCCAACCCTGCGGAACACCAACGGACCTGTCGTCTTCTAAATCTGCCCAACCTCTTCCTGGGCGGGCTCTGGTGAGACATTATAGTGCCTGCCAGTACCTGAAGGGGACCTACGGCTGGGGAGGGACTTTTTACAAGGGCCTGTAGTAATAGGAGAAGGGGTGATGGGTGGAAGCTAGAAGAGCGTAGGTTTGGACTAGATCTAAGGAAGAAGTTCTTTACCCTGAGGGCGGTGAGGCACTGGCACAGCTTGCCCAGGGAGGTTGGGGATGCTCCATGCCTGGAAGTGTTCAAGGCCAGGCTGGGTGGAGCCTTGAGCAACCTGATCTGGTGGGAGATGTCCCTGCCATGGCAGGGGGGTTGGAACTAGATGATCTTTGAGGTCCCTTCCAACCCAAATCATTCTACGATTCTACAACCCCCTGTGACAGCAAGCTTCAGAAATGAAAGTTTTGAGGGGTTTTTTTTTTATTTAAGTGAGTGCACCCTAATTCTTGTACCATGAGATTCAGTGCAGAGGAGTTTCACAGACCACTCACCCACCAGGAAGATGCCCCAGTCCCGGTCCTGGTCCTCCACACCCCTTTAACTATTTCCCAAGGGTACGGAGCACCTGGCATGCAAGAGGCAGATGCACCAAGGCTATGTGACAGCAAAACGACAGTCCTGTCACATTCTCATTATCCCTCTGGCTGCCACCCAACACCCTGCTGCTTCTTCACCCACCGCTGAGCTACCAACTCCAGATCACCGCCAGACACGCCGAATGAAGCTCATCCCATCACGTCCACTTAGCGCCGTTACCGACACCCTCCCAGGACTCCAACAGCTCTGTCAGGCAAAACTCACAGAAACAAAGATCATTCTCACTCAGAACAGCCCCACGTTTACCCACCTATTCAATAATATTATTCTTTGTAATGGAACCACACATTTCTAGTTACTGAAAAAAACCTGTAGTGCTTCAGTGGATGTTTGAATATAATAAAAGCCGTCTCACAAGCTGCAAAAAGCCAATACTAATAATTATGCGTTCTAAGAGCTAACTGCTTAAGAGTCCAAAGGAGATGAAAGGAATGAATAATGAATGGAAAGTTATCAAGGCTTCCGAAAGGCATCCAGAAGCACACTTCTCAGACAACCCCACCCCAGCTCATCTGTCAGGGTTTCATCTACCAGCAAACTTGACACTGCCAAATGCGGACAGAAGATGTCAATGAAGGTGAAACTATACACGCACTGGGATGGACACCACTCTAGTGTGACCTCTCCAGCCTTTGCTAGGAAATTTGTCTTCTTTTCCTGCATTTCACGAAAAGATAACTGAATTTTGGGGAGTTTTGGAGGGTTTTTTCCAAATCATAAACTGCTGAAAAAGAAAAAAGGTCATGTTCCTCTGCCTTCTTTCTCACAAACAAGTGTCAGGCAAGTAACTCCTACGTTCAGGTCTCAATCTGAAAAACACGTTACGTGTAAAACACCAGAGGGCCCACTCCAAATCACCAACTCAAACTTACCCATTTCCATTCAGGGTAGATGCTTTATCAATGGAATGAAAATGCAGCCTTCCTGAAACACGTAACATCCTTATTTTGTTTTCAGTCTCAGTTTCTCTACCTAAAATATTCAAACTCAGCAGCTTTATCCCCACTATTTATTTTGCTGTGTGCTCAGCACGGCATTACCATTTCCACACACTATAAAACATTCCTCTAACGCACGACCGCTGCACCCTTGAGCGGGAGTCATCCTACTGTGCAACCATCCCCAAATTCAACTCCAATTCTTAGCCCATTTCTGGTCGTCAAGTGATTCGGCGCAGCTAGGTCAAGAGTTACATCTTTTCATAAATTCTACTGGGAACCCAAAGGAGAATTTTGAGGGCCCACTTTATCCCCAACAACCCGCGCTGATGACAGTCTCTGTGGTTTTCCACGTGAGAGAGGTTCCCGAGAACGTGACACCGGTATTGGCACAATGACCTCGGACTCCTTTAGAGACACACAAAAAAAAAATCTACCAGTCCCACAATTCAATACTTTTGCTCTGTGATACCAATACCCACGTTCACCTGAGGGCAGAGCCAGCCAATGCCACCAAAAGTAGCCACCATTGCCAAGGGCCAAAAGAGAGACGTGGGGTGGAGCTTGCAGCCTGACTCCTCACTGATCTTCCATTAAACACATGTACTAGGGCTTCAGATACTACATTGAAGTTCCTGAACAGCCTACAATGGAAATAAGCTCATATGTGGATCTACGTTGCCATCAGCATCTTAATGACAATGCTTTAAAAACACTTTGAAGTTAAAGTTCTACAAGTTAAATAAGCTCAACGTTATTTAACTCCTAAATAATTTCCCTTCTAAAAATAAAAGTGAGGTATTTGCAGTAATTTATGTAAATTTACTCGTTCAAAGCATGTTCTTGACACAGTCACAAACCTTTATTGGAAGCAGTATTTACAATTTGAGGTAAAACACACTTTTGGGGACAAACACACATCAGCCACCTAACTGTGGTTTCTGATGCACAAGTAGAGCCAAGATGGAGACGTGTGAAGTACAAACCTTGACGATGACGGTCTGGTCGGAGATGCTGCTCATCATCTCATTGATGGACTTAAAGAGCTGCAGCAGAGACTCCCTGAAGTCTGCTTCTCCTTTGTTTTCATAAAGTCTGAAAAATAATTAGGTCTCATAAGCACCATCTAACTAAAAAGGAAACACATTTTGTTAAAAATGAGAGAGGATACATTTGTTGCATTACTTTTTTTTTATTTTTTTTTTATTTTTACATTCAAGAACTGAATCACAAGTTTTCTTTCACAAAGACAGAGCGACCAGATTGAGCCAGCAGGAACAAGACTTCTATTTTCAAGCTTTCTACGTAAAACTCCACATCCAGTACCCTTGTTTACGCCTTTAAGTCACAGTGGATCCCTCAGCGGTGACCCAATTCCACGTGCCCACGCAGCAGTGGGACAGAGTCTCTCCCCTCTGCACAAGAGTTAGCAGATGTCTCGGAGGACCAGTGCCAAGCAGCTCTCTGATGAGGAAGCCAGAAAGCATCCAGACAACTTGCCAGCAATCATTAAAATCTACCAGGGGCCTGAGGTAAGTGACCTTAAGCTCTGAAAGAAAGAAACAACTCCCTATTTGCAAAAATAATAATAAAAAATAATAAAAAAAAACAAACTTTCTTTTTACCCATGGGAAAGAAACACTAAAGTTAAAATGCATTTCACCTCTAATTTCTGGCTCGCTGACACTAACCTAGTTAAGGCTCAGTTTCCCGTACCATCAGAACGGCTGCCGCAGAAGAACGATGGATCCCACAGCCGAAGTTCATGAGACAGGGGTTCCTGCGCTTTAAGGCAGGATATTTCAGAGTTGCCCACAGCAACCCCTCCCTCCATCTCCATCAGATGCTTTCAGTGGGATAAAAACCTGCCCTGAGACATCCAAGCAAAAAAAAAAAAAAAAAAACACAGCCAAGCTGAAGAACTGGCCCACTGGTTCAACACAGCACAGGAACGGATGGTCCTGCCACTCCCTTGAATATTTTGAACACAGAATGATCTCCATTTCAGGTGTAGGATGAGATAATTCTCACTCCAAAATGGAAAGGAACAAGGAGAAGACCACTAGCTCCACATGAATTCTTTAAAAATATTTTTAAAACTTCCCCTTTTGGCAATACACAAGTCACCTACATCTGGCTGTTGTGAGTACAATTCTTGAACTCAGCCGTACTGACTTAACACACTCAAAAAAAAAAAACCAACAGTGATTAAAAGAAGCCCAGGAGAACCTGGTCAAATTTAAACAAGAAAATAGAGGTGTTTATAAACATCAGATGGGACTTTTTTCCGAACTAAAACCCCATTCTTACCCAGGCAGCTTTGATCACCTCCAAGAGCTTCATCCAACAACTGAGCTCCCAAAGCCTCCTTGGTTCCAGCAGCCCTGTCCCCGAGCTCACCTCAACATTTTGCACCGAGGCCCATTAGGGCAGCTCCTAGCCAGAATTCAATTCCCCTTTATTCTCCTCCTCTGTTCTTCTGGAGTTAAATCCAGGAAGGCAGTCTTGAATGTGGTCTGCAGCTCAGAAGGAGCACCACACCCAGGAATTTTTATATGTGCACTCATCATACGGTTTCTTCACGTCTGAAGACATCGTGACAGACCACCGACTACAGAAGGAAAAGGGCTTTTCTTAAGATAAACATGGAGTTCAGAATGTTCCTGCTGCCTTCCACTGAAACTAATGCGTCTCATTTTTAATGCTGCGTTCATAAACCTTTGGGAGCCACGGATATTAAGAAAAAGCTATTTAACCAGTACACAGGGGAAATGAACGCTGCAGAAAAAAATATTAAATTGTGTTATTTTGCTGTTCAAACTTCTCTTCCTCTCAGGCTAAAACTGGGGGTTATGCAAGACAAAGTACTCGTTAACTCCCCACTTCCATAATGGAATTCGGTGTCCCCCTGAACAGATTTAGAGAGGTGAAACTAATACCAATATAAAGAGTAACTAAACTTGACAGTCCAATAAATCAAACTGCTTCACACAAAATGCTTTGTGTTTCAAAAAGGAAATCATAACAAAAATAAACAAGTTAGTCACAAATGCGTTTCTACCGTCAGTTATTAACACCTATTTATTTAATACACCCCATAATGCTTGAAAACGCTGCAGCTATGAGAAAAGCAGGATTACACTAAGTCGACCCTCCTAGCAATGCCTTCCAAATTGTAAATGCAACAAAACCACTGGGATCAGTACTGAGAAAGCCAAAGTTCACATATAATATTTTGCCTTCATAAATTCCAGATTTGCCATAACATAAATATAATATAAATACTAGATTTGCCACCAGGCTTTAACTAGATGGACTAGGCTTCTACATATTTATCCAGAACTGAAGTTTGCCTGCAATCACGTTACTCAAAAGCTCCACTCATTCGGTTCGCTACCATATTGCTGAAGTTGAAAATACGTAACGTTTTTTAATAAAAGATTCTGCTTGCTCCTTGCGATTTCTCAAGTAAAACACTTTCAGAACACTGCTACACTTCTGCATTATAATCACTTCAGATCCCACACCTCCGGCAGGATTTAAGGCTTACAGCCGAACAAATCATAGTGTCATTCAGCATTCAGCAGCCTCGCTGATTAATCCCTTGTCACTGAGAGCTGTGTCTTCCCAACGCTGAAGAACTGCGAATTAGCGCTTAGCACGAGGAAATCCAATGGCCGATACTAGAGGGTCATATTGTCTGTAAATCTAATCTGCAGCAAGGGACAATTATTTCTTTTTTTTTTCCTGTTTTAAAGTGATTTGTAGGACCCGCAACAGTGTAAGTGACATTCGCTATTTTACAAACCTCACAGCAAGACTCCTACAGAAATAAATTACAACCTCAAAATTACAAAAAGGTTGGTGGAGCCGGTAACATCAGAGCTCTACATAAATCCCTTGTAATAAGGTTGTTACCATCACTAACAAGTAGTAAAAGGATTGAATCTAAGCGAAGACGAACACATCATCGACTCGTTTTATAACCCCTTTAATATTCCACGTATAAAACACAGTGCTGACTTCCAAATTAATTTAGAATAATTATTTATGCTCGACTTCAGGGCCGGACGCCCACAGCGGGCGGCGCAGCGAGGCTCTGTGCAGCTCACCTCGCAGGAGGTCGAGAGGGGAGCAGAGAACAGCCCCCCTGCAGCTCTCTGCCAAGCTGGTAGAAATCCAAATCCTCCTCCTATCAAAAATCCTATCAGTCCTGAGGAGATGATTTCTGCAGCCCTTCTCTCTTTCCACTTTTCCCGTCCCGCTCACTGAAACCTACTGAGAGTGCAGGGCTCTCCAGTCGGCAACTGACCCCAAGAGCTTCTTCCCACTCTGACGGGGGGGCCTGGGGAGCTCCTGTTGGGCTCTAACTCCAACAATAGTCACGGTTTGCTTTGATGAGGCAGCGTGTCAGAAAAAGTGCACCTTACACTGCTTTTCCCCCTCGCTGTCCATCTCTTCTCTGTCTCCGTGCCTGGCCTACAAATGAAGCCCTCTGCAAAGCGCAGCTTCTCCCTGAGCTCTGCAAGCACCACACAAGGCCAAACGTCTCGTTTCCCATCCAGAAGAGCCCTCCCTTTGCTTTGCTGCAAAAATTTTCAGTACTTTTGTCTTCCCAGACTTTTGCAGTCAACTGAAGAAAGGCACAAGCAAAGCCCAGGCCTGGATGAGGGACAGGGCAGTAAAGCTACTCGGTACCTTCATCATTTTGGTCACAGAATTAGACAGTTATTAAAGAAAAGTTTCCCAAAAGGTGGCAACCTTTATTTGTTCAGAGACCTAAACGACACAGAGCTGAAACACATCACAATTTTGGCGGTGCACTGCTACTTTACAACACACACCTCTGTCAAGGAAATTCCACCTGCTCCTAGGGAACAGCAGTCTCCTGAAATGAGTTCTAACAACTTCAGGTCTTTATAAACCAGCCTCACCTCAAGCCCTGGGTGCAGGGCTGGGCCCCTCACTGCAAGAAAGACACTGAGGGGCTGGAGCGGGTCCAGAGGAGAGCAATGAGGCTGGGGAAGGGACTGGAGGGAAAGTCCTGCGAGGAGAGGCTGAGGGAGCTGGGGGGGTTCAGCTGGAGAAGAGGAGACTTAGGGGGGACCTTCTCACTCTCTACAACTCCCTGAAGGAAGGGTGCAGTCAGGTGAGGTTGGGCTCTTCTCCCGGGCAACCAGTGACAGGACAAGAAGGCCCGGCCTGAAACTGCGTCAGGGGAGGTTTGGGTCGGATCTCAGGCAGCCCTTCCTCAGGGAGAGGGGGCTCCGGCACTGGGATGCTCTGCCCAGGGCAGGGGGGAGGCAGGGGGGAGTCACCGGCCCTGGCGGGGTTTAAGGAGAGGCTGGATGTGGCACTTAGTGCCTGGTCTGGCCCATGTGGTGGTGATGGGTCACAGGCTGGGCTTGGTGATCTCAGAGGGCTTTGCCAGCCTCAAGGATTCTGTGATTCAGCAACTTTATGTCACAGCATTACAGTCGTGACACTTTTAGACCAACCTTGTCCTTGGGAATTACCGGAGGTTTCAGCATTCACCGTACTTACTGATTGAACAGTATCCTGGACCGGACTATGAACTTGAAGATGTACTCCAAAGCTTTCATAGCTTTAAAGAGTTGATCGGTGATCCCACACTTCTCAGCGTTATCCACATAGGTTTTTAAAACTTTAGTCAGTTTTCTGTTTAAATACAAAACAACAGACAAGTTACAAGCACACTCGCAGAGAAGAGTTTTAGTTTTGAAAGGCCTAATGAAAAAATATGCGCAGAAGTAGTGCCCTCCAATTTAAAAATTTAATTACGCGACTCATAAACTCACTGTGTTTTTGTTTTTCATGGTAAGTACCTGCACCCTATTCTTAAGAAAAAAAATAACAAAAAAAAAACAGACCAGAACACCATTTAACATATAAGCAATAGAACAAATCTTCGTAAGACTTATTCTTTGCTAGATATTTAGGGTTATTCAAATTTGGCTTTACTAATAACAATCAAAATAAAAACATAATTGAATACAGACTGATTGTCAGCATTAAAACACAGATTAGATTTTATTCATTAAACAAGGCTTCCCCTTTCCACACCTTTCTTATGGATTTGGGGCTAGAATGTAGTAAATCTATTTCTTAAAAATGTACATAACACTAAATTGCCAATTCTTTTAAAGTCAATCAGTGCTGAAAGTAAACCAATTTTTTAAATAAAAAAACAAACAACATTTCAACTACCTTTCAACAAACAGGAATCACAGTTTTAATGTAACTACCAAGCAATGCCATTTTATATCATCCTGGCCACACTGCACATTTCAACACCCACACTAAAAGTAAAAAAGTACAACATTATATATTGCTACCAGGAACTAACACTGAGTAGATAGATAACTTGATACACGGGAATTTATTGGAAAAGGAGTAAACTGCCTAAGAATTTCAAGGAGCCACATAACATACTGTCTGAAGCAAATTTGGGTATAGAATCACAGAATGTTGGGGTTGGAAGGGACCTCTGGAGATCCCCCAGTGCCACCCCCTGCCAGAGCAGGGTCACCCAGGGCAGCCCCACAGGAACGTGTCCAAGGCGGGTTGGAAAGTCTCCAGAGCAGGAGACTCCACACCCTCTCTGGGCAGCCTGGGCCAGGGCTCTGGCACCCGCACAGGGAAAAAGTTTCTCCTTGTGCTGAGGTGGAACTTCCCATGTTCTAACTTAAACCCATTATTGCTTGTTCTATCACTGGGCACCACTGAGAAGAGATTGTCCCCTTCCTCTTGACTCCCACTCCTCAGATATTTCTCTACATCAATAAGGTCCCTCTCAGCTGTCTCCTTTCCAGGCTGAACAGCCCCAGGTCTCTCAGTTTCTTCCCAGCAGTCCCTTGATCCCCCTTGTAGCTCTCCCCTGGACTCTCTCCAGTAGGTCCCTGTCTCTCTGCAATAAAGTGCAGGGAGAGGGCAGGGACCTGTCATACCCACCGGCCTAAGTCAAGCCCAAGCTCAGATCTTCCAGCAACTTTATGATTAAATTTGTTTCTGCCACCCCATATTTAAGGAAGGGATGTTCTCCAAGCCTATCAGCAAAAGGGCCACCTTCAGCTCTTCCTAACGAAACCAGATGCTGGAGGATGCCTCAGCCTTTACCCACTTTTCACATGGAGGCTGTTAACTCTGTGAAGTGATCGTACCAAAGCTCTGACTAAAGCCTAACTCTTCTTCACTATTTCCAATCAATACTCCTTAAACATTTTCTGGTCACATAATAGAGACTGGGTAACAGCAAAGTACACAGCACATTTCCCCGGTTGGATTTTTTTTTTTCCTCCCTCACTGCAAAGATATCCATTTTCTTCCACCACTAATAGTCTGAAGCAGCAGCAAAGATCCCAACTGTCAAGAAATACTTAAGACGACAAAAATAACGGACCTTTGGTATTTTGCTCTTCACTGCTTCCTGCCCAAAGTCACAGTAACAGAAATAATACAGGGTAGAACATGAATTTAATGCACCAAACAACATATATTTGAAGCATCTGAAATGGACATGATTTCTTTCATTAAGTATCACTGAGAATTATTTATGAATATTCTCCTTACAAAACACTTCTTGAAATAGTCAAATTATCCCCTCCTTCAATAAAACTAAATCAAGACTTTCTCCTTGCAAGTGACCAAATGTTTTACTACTATTATTTTGAGGGAGAAGGATATTTTATCTCCAGGGTTCTTCAGGAATCTCTCACCCTCCCAAGCGCTGTGGGCAAAATCTTAACTAACCTACACGAACAAATAACTGAATAACATTATTTAGAAAAGATTACGCAACCCACATTAGAAAAGTAAATTTTGACATTTACGTGTAGGCTAATGTAGCACTGAAATGCTTCTTGATGTAGGTTTCCAAGACAGGATTAAAATGCTGGAATTTTCTGTCAGCGATCAGTCCAATGATAAATACCTGAAAAGCAGCACAATTATTGCATTGTGTTCAATAATATCTTCGATTTTATACATTCATCAATCTTTCTTTTCAGATAAATCACATAAACAACATTAAAACCTTGTAATTTGGCTTTTGACTACCTTCTCAATATATTAATATTCTCCTTTCCTGTTCTGTTCCTGAACTTTCTGTTCATAACCAAGTTTTCTGCTCTAAGCAGAAACTGTTTCTGTCCTAAACTCTGCTGTTATTCCACTAATATGACTGGAGTTGACATTCTCTATCTTTTCTAGGAGGAGGACATGATGCAATCCAACCCCCTTTGGATCAAGTCCAGCTGAAACTTCTAATATAATAATATTTTAAATTAAATAAGTAACTAACAGCTAATAGGATCTGTTACATTAGTAATCTTCATTCTAGCATTTACACCGCATTTCTTAATGTATTCTTCATTGCAGTACCTACATTTCAGTCCATCCACAATGCAAACTTACCAAAGCATCAAACACTAACGTGTCAAATGTCTCACTCTCCGAGTTCTCCATCATTATGTTAAAAAGTGCATCCAGCGTATCTTGAAGAAACTACAAATAAACACACAATTCATCATATTTTGCAGATGTCACACAGGTTTCTACAGACACACTTGCTTTCATTTAGATATTTTACAAAGGGCATTTTAAAAGTTAGCTGCAAAAAGGAAAGTTTAATATTTGTTCTTCTAGCAAATTATTTTTTTAGTTGATTATCTATAGATCCACATCACTCAAAGAGTAAAAAAAAAAAAGTCAAAAACCACACTTGCTACACCTGAATAGTAAGTTTAATCTATTACAGTGAATGAACAAAAACATATTTCAAAGCTGAGTTTCATCAGTCAGTCAGCAGGATCATGCACTTGCTGAAAATTGATGTTTCAGAGCACAAACCAGACAAGCAACTCAAGTCTCATGCCAGATAAATCAAGTCACTCGCAGCAGCTGCGAGCTGCGCGACAAAGTGCCACCATCGCTTCTCCTGACCCTGTCAGCTCAGCCCCACGATCCCCTCCACCGAGCACGCATGCAGGCACGGGTGACCTCTTGCCCCAGCCCCACACCGACACGCCTCCGTCACCGTAACGCAGGAAGAGTCTTCCCTGGCCACTTGGCCGGACACACTCTGATCTGCGCAACACGAAAGTAAGAGCAGATTAGGTCAGAGGATTTCAAGTTAAACTGTTCTGTGCACGTAGAACTGCGGTTCTTCATAGTGAGAGCGAGTATCCGCGTACGGCCCAGAGATACTCATCACCCCGCTCAGATTTGTCGGCAGGGGATTCCGTGTCTGAGGAGGTTCCTCTGCTGGGTGACACAAAACCGACACGGGCTCCTCCAACGCGCAACGAGGATGGATGACAGCCTCAGTTTGTGTTCGTTTTGGAGAAAGAAGGGGTTCAACGGGGGTTGTTCCAGCACATCAGTCTGAAGTGAGGTTAAAATGGGTTTTGCCTTGTAGATGAGGCAAGGGATAGCTGGGGAAGAACATCTGAACCAGCAGGAGGCAACCGATTCCTGAGATTGCAACTACAAAGAGGTATCATATACACTGGGGGAGTAACAGCCCGCTTTGCCACCCTCCTCCCTTAAAAGTTCTGATCTATGCGATGACTCTGCTAGCTCAGCACAATTCGTCTAGACCACCTACTAAATTGAAGAGTTAAATCTCAGGAAGTAACCTCCCTTTAGCAGCTCACTGAGCACTTCGCTGAATGCCAAACCTCCTCCAAACAAGTGAGTGTGGAGCCACAGGTCACACTATTAAGATCTGAAGATGACAAAAACAAAAACAAAGCCAAAATGCTTGCAGTTGATTCTAGGCTACAAGGTTTTTGGGGGGCAGGTGGGAAAATAACTTTCTCGCAGTTCCATTCACTCCATTACAGAACACATGCAAATAAAGTGCATTTAATCAGCAGCTGGCAGGATGGAAAAAGCAAGGCAGAGTTTTGAGGTTTGACAGGAGTAGTTTCCATCTTGGTTTGAGGAGAAGTAGTGCTCTCGGATCCCAAATGCTGCCTGGCTGAGTCCGTTTTAAAAAATGGGTAGACAGCCACGCCACAACTGATCAAGTCCTCCTTTCACATATAGGCATCATATATTGACTTTCTTGAGAGAGTTCAAGTTTTAAATTTGTTGACAAGGACTTCATGTAACTGCAAGAAGAATACAGGACAGATGCTTTTGCTGTATAAAGTTAGCCTGAAAGCATTTCTCGGGCGGGGAGCTAGTACGAATAATTTCTAGCCTATCAGTTTACATTCTCATATCCTATAGACTCTACGCACAAATGGAGTCGGAGCCTCTGCTGCAGGGAGATAACATTTACAGTTTCCATACCCTATTGAAACGGTCAGTCACAGAACGAGCATCTTGGCTCATCTCAGCGATAAATGAGCACCAGCAGGCAGAGACATTTTACTGGAGTTTTAAAACATACTCAAATTTTCCTGTTAAACGATTTCTGGGGTTTATCACACGCATACTTCTTTTTAATATTCTTGGGACTGTACCACATATCGTATTTAAAAACGTGAAGGTCAAAAAAAACTGAAGGAATAAAAAGGAACAGTTACAAACTAGGTATTAGGAGTGTGTAACAGAGTGGTCTACATAAAGATTTTCTCAACACTGCTATAGCAGATTGATAATATAACCAGTGGACATTTAAAAAATAAATAAAAATGGTGAAGAGAAAAATATTAAACATCCACGCTTCTGTCCCATGCATCAATCATACTCTGCTCAGATCCCTACGCAAGAGGGAGAAAGGAATAAGATTTCATGAGTCCTGCAACGGCGCATGGAGAAGTGGGAAAATTACAAGTCCCAGAAGGACGACGTTTGGCAGAAGCAAGTATCAATGTCAAGTTTTTAGCTAGCAAATGATCCACAAAAACAGCAGCAGGTAAAACCTTCCTGAAAAACAAGTCATGTGAGACACTATTTTCTCCCTACCCAATAAAGGATAACATCAGCATTCTCTGACGTTTTAAGCTACTTCAAGATGAGGCATTCATTATGCTTCTATTAATCAAATTAAAATCCACTGCAGTTAGGAAACAACACTACAAGCCCTTAAGGGTTGTCCATCCCCAATACGTTACATCTTTTGACACTCTTCAAGATTTGATTTATTACAACACATTCAATAAAGCCCCAGTCTACTCTTTTCCGCAGCTAAATCTGTCTTTATGTAGGTCTCTGCAATCACTCAGTGGCCTTGGCAAATGTAAATAACTTGGCTCAGCTAAATATTTTCAGGAGAAATAATTTGGTTTTAAAAAAACATCATCATCAACACAGAGTAGGATTGTGTTCCACATTCATATGTTAACATCACCATTTAATATCACCATGTAAGAATTCCAAGACGTTATAGTCCTCCAAAGAGAAACACCCTTTGTCTTCACGTATCTATATATAAAAATTCACTGGAATGCTGAAACAGAAAAACAAAAAAAAACAACCTCATCTTTTCAAACAATTTGCTTTTTATGTGTGTTTTACCAATACTCAACATCTGAAATGTTCTTTGAGGGCAGGGATTAGCATCCCAAAGGCTGACAGATACCTGGCTATAAATTAATGTGCAGGGGAGGCTGGGTGACAGGGAACACCACAAAAGAGACATGAATACCTCAAAATAAGGGATTCAGCAAAATTACAATACCAGGTTGGCGGGGTTTTTTTGAAAAAAATTAACTTGTTACCTTAACCACTTCACCACCATCAACCTTCATCAACTGCTTCAAGTTCTGCTGCAACAGGTTGGTGTTTGATCGCCACTTCAGAAGTCCCAAGAGATCAACTAGAAGTAAGAAAAACAATTATATCAGGCAGGATATTTGCTTTCAATTCACACTCCATAACTATGTTCAAGAGAAACAGGTCAGCCGTTTTTACTGTACAACAACATATTTCTAGCACGCTTCTGACACTGCAGAAACGTAGCACAGAATTTCTATCACAAAAGAACTCTGAAAGGCTTTCAAAAAAAAAGCAGCCTGCTTTCCAAATATCAGCATTAAAATCTCAGCCCAGAAAGCCTGATCCCTCAGTTTTCATTTATTTCTAACCGCACAACTGTTGTGGATGAAAGATGCCGAAACAAAATTAGTCAGCCGCCAACACAGTCATATCTACAGGGCCGTGACTCTTCCAGCATTGATGTTTCCAGCTTCTTTGCTCTCGCTGATTAAACTGAAAAGAAAATAAGGCACAATGCACGGCAAACGCTTGCAAACTAAGCTAATTCAGTGGAAAGCCGTCTGCTTAATAACTCCTAACGCCGAAATTGCTCTCCCAAGTGATGGAGAGCTAGGGTACAGATGAGATTAAGGAACAAATCAACAGCAAATGGCCTCGTCCCCGAATTCTAGAGCCCACTATTAAGATCGTGTCACTCCAGCATTCACTGATAAATAAGGGGATACAGAGAAGGCAAGCTCTCTCTCTTTTCTTAGTCACTCAGAGCCACAACATCCTTTTTCAGTTCACTTTAAGGAAAGCTTCTCACAAAGAATTCACAATCTGGATTCCCCTGCAAATAAGCACGTTAGTCAATAGGAACAACTACACTAGAGGACCAGTAAGTTCAACCCAGCCCAGCAGCTGTTGAGATGTGACCCAAATTGCCCACAGACCAAAAACCCCAAGCTTGTCCTGCCTTAGCCAAGCCAGCATCAGAGAAAAATTCCTCCCTAATCCATTAAAAGTGAGTTTTCAACACCAAACTACCTGTAAATCATCCTCAGTAGAATCCCCTAAAGAGAGATAAATAGATTTTGAAGGCTGTCTAATTTCAGGTTAGCCATTGGATTTAGTGCTGCACATCACCCACCTCCAATATGGTTAATATCATAGGAATTCCACCCAATGTAACTCTTAAAACAGGAAGGGCAGACAGCTTCTCCCAGCCAACACCCCCTTCTTGTATTCAAACTTTCAAAGTGACCAAACAAAACATTTACCGATGCACACATCTGCAGAGCATATTCTGGAAATTATATGCCGAGACCCAGAGGGGCTGCTAGACTTTCCCCAAAAGCTTTCACTCTAAGCAATAAATTAAATTCCTTCTAGTGGAATGGACTGCAGTTCTCCTCGGGATAGATTCCCCTCAAACCAAGCCTTCTTAGCATCTCTTTGAGAGAACAAGTAAAAAGCATTTTATTACATTAAAGCTTTGAACAACTCAATTTTTTATTATTTTTTTTACTGTATCCCACCAGAAGTCTACAGGCCGAAACTAGTCTTAGAAACTCGGCATTAAGAGAAAAATTGCTTCTGGAAGAAAAGCAAAGATGCCTCCACGAGGTATCCAAAGCATTTCATGAATATGATAAATTTATCATAATTTGGTTTCAGTCTGATTTCTAAAAAGGCATCAGCTTGACAAAAGAGATGACGTGAGCAAGAGCCAGCCCACAGACTGTCTCTGAACGGCATCGCGTGTTGCCCCAAGAAAACAAACCCAAGTGCACTTCCAGCGGGCTGACACAGCAAATGCCAAATGGATGTACATGACGTGAACAAGACTGAAGTCCACTGACTGTCTCTGTCTGTTGCCCCAAGAAAACAAACCCAAGTGCACTTCCAGCGGGCTGACACAGCAAATGCCAAATGGATGTACGTCTGTGAAGAGAAATGTCAGCGCAGTCCAACCCCCAGAAAGAGAAAAATAAGTCAGGGGGCACGGTAAAAACATGCATTCGCTCTGTTCCTGCGAGCATTAACCACAGTAAAGTGCCAGGCGGTCAGTGAATCTGACTCTTTTTATAGGTCTAGGTCTAAAACAATACAGTAAGTAGAAGAGGGTAAGAATGAAAACCAGTACTTTAGCCTACAGTAAATGGTAATTACTGCAGTCAGCCTAGATGAAGTGAAATTTATGGGGTCAGAAGATATCAGAGGAAGAAAGCGGAATACAGTTTTTCAATTGCAAAAGAATAGAACAAACCCATAGCCTGCCAAACAGTCAACAGCAACTTTATTAGGGTTAATGCAATTTATGAACCTATCGACTACTTGTGAAGATCTTCTTTCGCATCTAATTTAGCAACTGGAAGCAAATGGTCCAGCTTCCCAGTTATATACCTTCCTGAACCTGTATCTATGCAAAGGTGCCCTTATAGAGATACCCAAACTTCTCTCAAAACCCAGTCACCAAATTGAAATTAGATAATACTTCCACTCTAATCAAATTTCTATGTCTTCTTGGAAATTGTCTTCCCTCCCGACTTGAAGCATTTGATTTTCCAGTTTATGACTTTTTTTAATTTTAATTCTGTATTTACATCTTCATTTTTATGCCAGTGTAGCACCTGAATTTGCCATATAATGTGTATTGCTTGGGTTTTTTAGGAAAAAAAAAACCAGATGTGCTTAACGACTACGTAAAATTCCCCTCAACTGTTTTCTGAAAGCCTGGTCTCCTTGATTCCTCGAAATCCTGACTCCAGATCAGTAACAGTCACTATTATCTAGAGGTTTTAGTCCTTCAGGCAGAAAAGAAAACATAAAAACACTTTGAATAAGCCTTATGGACACGCTGGATGCTTCAAAACAGCAAATACACGAGCAGAACACTCGACAGCTCTCTGGCTACTGCCAGCCAGAAACGTTTTCTTGAATACCAAGGTTTTAATAAAGGAGCTCTAATTCATTACACAAAAATGCACTTGATGTTTATAGATGTCAAAGTGTTTCTCTGGCCCCTTTCTACAGGAAGTTTTAAGAGCAGAATCCAAATAAAGGCACACACTGCTAGAGCCCTGGGGACAGGGGAGGAAGGACGTTCTCCTCTGCCTTAGGTGGTGAAGGAGGAGAATCTGGCCAAGCAGCAAAGTGATGACGAGCAGCAACTTCTGATGCCTCCAAGAGTTGATCTCACTGATTCCCAAAGAGGTTGAGGGTCTTTTTGCTTGTTTTCACATGGTCCTACTCTCTGGCTTGCATCATTACTCCTCCTCAAAAGCAAAGGCAAAATCTAAGAAAAGGCCAGGAGCTGTGTTGCTGCAATGTGCTGTGCCACAAATCACCAACAACTGCTCAAATCTTAACAAAGAGGTACTTAATAACACCACTTTCTCTGCAAGAAAACAGCTGAAGTCCTACCAGCGGTCAAGTTTGATATTTTGGAGACTTGTCAGAAGCTAAGGACATCAATTACTAACAGAAGAGCAACATTAATAACTCACAGTCCATAAAGAACTGAAGTCCAATGAATGTTCAAAGAACTTATATAGAAAAAGAGAGTCTGCAACATCCAGTACACTGCAGAAAAAGCCGTAAGATTTATTATCAAACTTTCAGAATTACTATAAAGCCAATTCTAAGATTCTTATGGGAAGTGAAGAAAGAACTATTATAGATGACCAAAAGGAGAATATTATGTTTTTGACTCAATATTTTGGTAAATGAGGATAATCATGGATTTCTACTTATTTTTAAGAAAGTTTAAGGAATAATATTAACCAACAATTTTACTGAAGTTAAAATCAGCTTCGGAGCTGAACAGTGCTGCCAATTTTTAGACAGAAAACGATACCTGAGGGAGGAATTTAATGATGAAATATTTTTGTTTCTTTTCTAAATTGCTTAAGGATGCGCAGTGATCTCGTGTAATTATGTCAAAATACTTTGAAGGAAGAGAAAAGGCTTTCCTAACTTTGAGAAAAAGTTTCACGGGCAACATAATTAACAGTAGAATTAAATAAAGATCAAAAGTTCAAAACAAATTACATGTCAATTAAGCAGGAAACAACACTCAGGCTTCATTTTAATAATAGTTCTGCGAAAGCAATGTCAATATATTGATCACTGTGAAATATTTTTAACAAGCACTAGGAAAGACTGAGGGGAAAAAAAAAAACCTAATCATATCACAAACAAAAAGCAGCTGATTTCCACACGCTGATTTCTGGGTTCTACAAAACCCCAACCCACTGAGCTGAAATGATCCCATCTTTGCTACGAAATTCCAAAAATCCTTTCCAAATTTTTTTTGCTGAACACTCTTCTCAGGCTCTCAGACTGCCAGACTGCAGTGCATCTGATGTGCTCTGAATATGAAACACCTCGGATATGCTCAAATAAGAGGTGCTGCTGGAAAACCCTGCAATAAAATTGTCAGGTGACTACAAAGTTGTACCAGAGGAGTAACTCTCCTCCTGGATGGAGGAGAACTCATTAACCTGTCGATTCAATGGTTATTCCCCACCTCCCCGTTGTCCCAAGCCCATCCACGATCTCGAGTCCCCAGGGATGTACCCGAGCAGAGCCCTCCCTCCTCCTGAGTGAGGCAGGAACGATCCCTCTCCCTGGCATGACTCACTCACAGCTCAGTGACCCACCCACACTCCCCAGCCTCCTTCTGGCGCAGCGAAGAGAACAAGGGAGCGCTCCATGGCAACCAAGCGCAAAAATTACAGAGAGGGCACAGTCTGGAAATGTGAAATATCTGCTTTGGTGGCTGCCATCAGCTCTACTTTCCACAGCCTTGGGATGCAGTCAGCCAGCAGACAATACACATGACAAAAATATATATATAAGGCGAGTTTTACAAAGAACAAAATACGGCGACTCGGTCCCTGGTACTCTGCTCATGTGAAGATGTGTGAGTGTGAAAGTGACCATCATGCAACACATCCCTTCCGCCCAACACAAGAAAACATCAGAGCTTGCTTTCTTCAGACCTAAGATATGGATATTGCACCTTGGAAATACCATAAAACAGCTTACTTGGGAGCAGAATCATGATATTATCTACTCTTGAAAGCAAATTCATCTTCTTCCTGGCTGCTATTGCTCATACCTACAGGGAAGTAAAAATGTCACAGAGACTGTTCTCAGTGGACTTCAGTCTAAAAGCCTCAACTGTGTGGCAAACAGCATTCTCGTTTCCATTAAACTCAGGGTTCTTCTGTTTTCTTAGAGACGTGTACTGCTCTGAAGCAAAACAAAGCCCACGGGCAGCGAAAAGGCTGGAGAATACACACACTCAGGAGATGGCTTTGCCTCACCCAATTTAATCAATGACCGCGCGGCAAACAATCCACCAGCCCTTCACCGAGGAAGAGGGTCAGAGAAGGCAGGAAAATCAGTCCCAGGAGGGGCTGGAACGCAGGAAAGTACAGCTCCACTCCCACTGTGAGGAACAAAAAGCTTTTGCAGCTCTGCAGACTTACCATTCTGAGTAAGTTTTGTTGAACAAACTAGAGTAGAAATCTGGAAAGAGTCCTTGCTGATGGTGCAGCTTCCGAGGTTCTGCATGCTCTTCCCCGTTGCCGAGTGTCCCTTTTCCTCCAATTCTATTTTAGTGGATGGCAGACTTAAATACGTCGAGGCATCCTCCAGCTTCTTTGCTTCAGCCTACAGTGTGTTTTTCAATACAACACAAAACAATCTGAACATTTATAGCAAAAAAACCTGGTAATAATAAAATGTTATTGTTTACACTGCATTTGCTCACATTTGCTCCCAAATTGGAGCTATCCACTGGGTCTGCAACCACCGCAGTTTAGCATTAACCTGTCTACAGATTAAAGCCAAGATGTGATATTTAAAGGGTGACAGAAGTGGGTGACAGAAGTAACTTTTTCAAGCCGTGAAAACCCACATAAAACTCAATACAAGTGCCTTTGAAATTAAAACACCCCCAGTAAAACATATTCTGTCTGCTATTTAGTTGCTTGAACTACCAGAATAGTCTATAATACTTCTCTGCTCAATTCTGTAACTGTAATTCACTACAAGTCAGTCATCTGAGCTAGTTACTAGGGACATACTAAAGTACCTCAAAATTCTACCTTGTAAACTATGAGGTCGTGTTCTCCATCTCTCAGAGTTGTTCCATCATATCTCATGAGCTTCACAAAGGCAAGGGCAAATATTTTCTCAGACTTATCTTTGGCTGTTAAAAAAAAAAAAAACAAAACACACAAGAAAAAAGCCAAATAATTATTTGATAGTTAAGAGACAGACCACCTAAACCTCAAACACAGATAACCTGTAAATGATCTACGAGAGTAAAGATTCTCAGATGGAGAAAGTGCACAGGAAATTAGGAGTCTTGTAAACACAAGCAAAAAAAAAAAAAAAGAGCAAAAATGAACAAAATGAAAACAGAAGAACTACCTGACTGCACCAACAGTAATTAGAATTCTGTCTATTCTTTTAGAAAGCTGGATTAATGCAACTTCTTAAAAAAAAAACCCAGATATCTGATGCATTTGTAATACTCAGGTTTTTAAGAGTTAAAAGAATGGCAGTGCTTGGTACCTAGAATAATGACTTAAAGATCAGCACTGAGGATCTCATCAGGGCTCCAAAACAGAACTAAAGCAGAAACCGGATCCATAACGACAGATGAAACCTCAAAGTTTCTGAAAGCTGACCCACCTTCTACAGTCAACAGGAATTAGAAAATGAATTCAGTTTGCTCTTGCTCAAAATTACGGAAAGTTAAATAAAAACAAAGCAAGAGGACAGGGAGAAACCACACAGCAAGTCAAGAACAAAACCCAAAGGGAAGTGCAATCGATTTGAGAGAGCCCAGGGTGCCTGTGAGAAAGCCCTGCAGCCTTAAGGCATGGCCTCTGTGGAATATTTAAACCATGGTCTACCCAAATGTTTGAGTCGTCATGAAATTATTTACTGGTCCATTAATTTGTAGCCCACAGTCCTAATTTTGACACTAACGAAATCCATTTTCAGCACACTGTTTGCATCAGCATGCATCATTCTCTAAAATTAGTAAATCTTTTTTGAAACGATCCATTGCAGAGCGCACAGCTTCAATTTAAGCGTTCTGGGGCAACGTCCTACATATTACACAGATATGTACACATGAAGAGTATCACGTCTTCAAATGCATCTAGTGGATACCATCTGATTAATGGTTTTGTCTACACATTTATTCTACAGCAAAAACCTTCCTGCCGATTTAGAAAGGCTTTCCTATCCAGGGAGCCAATCTCTGTGATCATTATACAGAATGAACATTATCAAAACCAAGGCAAATCCCCAAACTTTACTAAAAAGCAACGGCTGACAAATGGAAGATGTCTAGCCACCTCAGCCTCGCCCTCAACAAGCTCAAACCATCTCAGCTGCCAGCACCACTACAGGAAAGGTGAGAAAAACCCTGAATTCTTATCTTTTAGACTAAAATTACTTCAAACAAACAAGTCTGTCTGAGAACCAGAAACACAAACCAAGCTTCTTAACTATTAAGTCTTCCATTACCGATGCTAAGCCTACTGCAAACTCCTTCACATTCCCATTTCACACGTGGGGTTGTTAAAGATATTTATTACTCCCCACTCACCTACCTGTAAGATACACAATACCACAATTCTTTCCGTTGCTAACTGAAAGCTTCATTTGTTAGCCCTTTTATTTCACTTGGAGAAATAACTGGGTAGGAAAGGAAACACTTGATGTCAATAGGTAAGAATGAGGAAGACGTAAAGGGAAAGCGA